AAAAAAAACTGAGGATTTCGTCATGCACTATGTATAAGAGCTCTGTACCCGATAGCACTTCTGCCCTACAAAAAGTCCTCTCAGGAAGATAAAAAGTTACTGTTCTCAACGCAAAAACACCCACCTGTTGCTGCTGTAGATGCAGTGTTGCAGTATCCGCATGTCTTCTTGCAGTAACGCTTCAAACATAAGCAGCACATAACATTCATTACAAAACCGCAGTCAGCGGTAAATACGCAGTGTTTTTAGCCTACCTTGGCGAAGGCTTCCAAATTCTTACTCTGGCAAATGAATGAGTTCTCCAAGCCGCAGCCAGGTGCTTCATCTACGCAAGAACCTTAAAGAAGTAAATGCTTTCGGATTTTTTTTCCGAAAATAAAGCTCATTTGATATTTTCATTCTGACACTGTAGTACGTCTGTTGAGGACGAGCGTCCATTGTTAAACTCGTACTTTTTGTTATTGTTCTACAGTGTTTGTCACCCCAAAGTAGCGGGGTCCTCTTGAGGATGGCATGCGAGTCAAAACAACCAGGAACACTATCGTCAAACTTGGCACTCCGCAGTATTTCGACAATGCATAGAAATGTTGCTCATGCAACGTTGGAACTAGAAGGCGTTTTCATACCATTCAAAGTTGGTCGCTGTCAGTGTGAGCCATCCCAACATCTCCCCATAATTTTTCCTGTGGACGATTCTGTGGTGTCCATTAGTGCAATTATGAAGACAATAGTACAAACCAGAATCGCAAAATCCACATGTTTTCGGGCAGTCCTCTTCGAGAATACTCCTCCATTCTCTACTTTCGCACATATCCGGCGTCACTGACGAGCAGGGATATCGCGGCTCTAAAACAGCGTCCATGAATCTCAACACATGTCAGGCAAGAACGAAAATTTGCTTGTGATCACATTCCGTTTCAGGAATTGGTTAAGAAATGCATTGACTTACGCAATTTGTTCTGACAATTATAGGCTGGTGTAAGGCAGCAGTATCCACACTGTCTGGGGCAAGTATTGATAGCGGTATGGAGCAATTCTTGATTCTAAAAACGAATCAAACTACCTCATTGATAAGTCAGCATTCTGAAATTGAGCTCGGTCTATAAAAAGGAAGCAGTCTTTTCTATTCCCCGTTGGCAAACCGTTGAAGAAAACATACATATAAACAAAAGTTAGCAATCCCGGAATCCAAGAAGTAAATTTGTGGTGCAGTAAGGTAAAAAGGCAACTATAACACACGCACTGTCGTGGGCTCGAATCTCGGGGATTGCAGCTCGAATCCTGGAGACCGCAAGTTATTGTACAAACCACATACGCATTCAATAGGCCCTACGATTCTGAATGGAAGTCGAATGCGTGGGCGCATTCCTTAGACGGGAATGACTGCTTCTCCAAAACTTAGTCCTTTCTCCTTTATATGGATCAAGCCAAAATGGTAATCTTACCACCGATTATCATTTTTCCCACATATTATTCTGATCAGAGTATTTGATCAGACTACTCCCGGATTTTGGCATTTGTTCACTTCATATTCGGTCCGGGTCGAAGGTGTGACTTACGTTGGGAATATCCCTGCCGGTTACTTCATTGCCATGAATCAATAAAGAAATAAAATCAAATGCTAAAGAGTATAGCCTCCAAAATGGCTATCGCTGCGATCCGTCCTACACGCATGCTATGGCTAGATCTTTGTTTCCCTCGCAACTTGACGATATCATTTCGTTTGTTCTCTTCTAATGAATCCTGAAACCTCGCCAAAGCGGGAGCTACCGATTGCATGGAGCCTTTCTGAGTCTGCCGTCTGCTCATGCCCTGCTCTTTTACTTACCACGGGACTTCCTGCGCATTTTGCGTTTCGATCTGCATTGTTCGTTTCTGCTTTCACTGCATCCCCATAGAGAATTTCACAATTAGCGTCGGAAATTTTGTTCTTGCAGTTCACCGCCGATTGAGCATACTGAAAGAAGGAAAGATCTAAAAAATGATCTTAGAATATTACTTATATTGTATGTAGATACACCTATAGGAATGGAAATTCACTTTATTCGGGCAGCAACTGCTTCCAGACCACACAAAGTTAGCACAAACACCTTTGTTGTAAGTGGTCATAGACGGTAATAGTGGATGTTAGCTCCCAGTCTACCCGGACGCTCTACAAGCAAAGCAACTTGATACCCTTTCGATGTAGAGAAATCATTCATCATCATCCCGTCAATGTGGTAGGTCATTGAGGAGGAACCCTGGGAGAAAGCCCAATCGGGGCTAGCCAAACATGAAAAATGTAATGAAAAGCATGGCTGGACATGCAGGGGGGTTCCCCAGAAGGTGGTGGTCCCACCAACTCAAAGGACTATTCTGCTTGATGAAATTGACAACGAAATTGCATCTAGTACCCTGACGTACAGGTGACCGAATAACAAGGATTCGGGTACTTTTCGTTTGGACTTGGAGCTAGATGCTGCTCTTTTTCGACAATCACCAAGTCGCCTACCTTGCGGTCACCACCGACAGGATACGTGCAATTGAGGTCCGTGATTACAGCACATGCACTGTTTGCAAACAGGCTCGAGAGTAGTATAATTAGAAGCATATCTTCGCTAGAATATTTTGAATAAGCTAGTTGACGAAACGAGCTTGAAGGCTCAGAGGGCAACACCTTTCATAGTAGACGACCACTCGTCATTTCGGTGTACTTTGGAACGTGCAACTATAGGCAAATTGTAGAGTAATGACGTGCCATATGAGGTTTTCTGTCAATACAATGACGTTAGCCAAAATAATTATTTGAATACCTGCCTTCGTTATTCAGACAAAGGCTTTATGAAAAGTATAGCCATAGAAATTTTCTAGTTTTTACTTAGGCCCAAAAAATTATTTGATGACTCTAAAACTGTTGGCAGCTACAGGATTGCAGTGTACTAAGCTACAGTTCGCACTTTGTTACTACAGCTTATTTGAACAGAACACCCGCTGTACCCGAGGAAGAAACAGAATTCATTTTTGACCGGTTGGGATGAGAATCATGGCCTAGAAGGCTGAAGTAGAGGGTTCTGAGTTCTTCTGAATACTTTAATTTTAGCTAGCAACGACTCAGTGCTTAGGCTCAGGCTACCTTCATGGTTTTTGCCTACAGGTCAGCACTCGGTTCCATCTCTGGCCTCACCTTAGCTGGCTAAACTTCAAAGATTCCAGGGCACCCTTCCTGAATCACCTTCGAATATGACAATTCCTCTATCGAATCCCTCACGGTCTGCCCAGTGCTACGGTCTGCAAACGGTTCACATTCCAGGCGTCGAGCTTTTGCACCAGTACGATTCTTTCCCTATTTCATTCTTCTATTGACTGTGCGACTTGTGCGAGATGCTTGAGGCACACTTTCTGTAGCCCGATGTAAGCTCTTTTTTGCCAGCTCCTTTTACCGTCTTTCCTACTTTTTGTAATCGTGCTCCCGCCATTCATTTCTACCACCTTACAACAGTGCTTATTCATCAGCCTAAATCCCGACTGTCCATCCCTGTGCTCTTTCATGGTGGGAGCTGTTTTTAGAAAAGAAAACGAATTTTCAGCATCCTGCCTAAGGTAATCATCTCACCGAACTCGGTGCCCCCACCCACTTGACACAAAGAAACAACAAACTACAAGCTTTTGGCTTGAACTCCATGAGAGCGCACAGATAGCCGGTGCCCATGCTCTTCTTCGTCTCCAACTACATTTTCACCCATAACCTCTATCACCTTGGTCCAGACGCTGCCTCGCGACTGCTTATAGCCATACCGCATAAAAAATGGTGTATATCCTAGGCGGAAATGGAACCCAGCGACCAGATGTATCGAGATTGAAATCGGTGGACGACCAGTGCGTGGATGAGAAAGTCATTTCGGTCATTAGAATGCAGATACCAAAAGGTATACTCTATTCAACTATTTTTTTCTCTCAAAAGATCTCAGTGGCTATATTTGAGGCGAAAGTTCGGCAGTTCCACTGCTCAGAGTGAAATTCTGTGCAAATAAGCAAGGCCAATGATGGGACAGATACAACCCGGTTCAAGGAAGACAGAGTTATCAATATAGCTTTTTCGCAGAGGAATATAAACAAGTAAGTTTGTGTGGCTTTTCGATATTTGCAGCTTTTGATCAAATAACGCAGGCGGTTTCACAAAAATTATTTTAATTGACGTCATTGTAATTGTGAGACCAGAAAAAGGCTTGCCAGTTACTGTATAAAGTGATATTTGCCATCCTCATTCTAGCCCATCGTGTCAAGCCACTTGCTTTATCCGGGTTTGGCTGAGACATGCTTTCGATTATACTGTTTTGGATGCTTGCCATAAGTGGTACAGAAGCAGGGATCACCGACCTCAACTGCACCGATGCCGTCGCAGGTGTCTATAAGGTAAGCCAGTCCATACTGCTGTCAAAGATGAACTGCACTCAGCTGCCACGAAAGAAATCTTCCTGGTCGTTGACCTCTAGCAAATGGTGACTTTGCTACCAGTTAGCTACTATTGCGTTGTGGAATCCCACCCTGGGTGTGTATCCGCTATCCGAAAATCGCTGCCCGCATTCTATCGGGCGCTCTGAAGGGTACGGTAACGGTAGCGGGAGCACTGTCGTTTGCCGTGGGAATCGGTAAGGAGGAATGCCATCTCTCTACCCCTCCCCACACCAGATTTCATCATGCTTCCACTGACTTGAAAGCAGTAAATCAAGTAATTTGCCAATTTATTAATCTTTCAAGCGTACATAGCTGTAAGTAATGTCTGAATTTCTTAATCTGTGATTCAGTCGAAATTCTTTCCAGTTTGCTGAATCGGCAGTGAACTGCAGGAACAAAATATCGGATGCTAATTGCCAACTCATTTACGGAAATGGTGTGACAGTGGGTACGGATCATCCAAATCGGGACGATAAATGCGCAGGAAATCCTCCAGTAAGTGACAAGAGAAACTTCAGGGCCGAAAAAACTTCATTCCATAAAGGAGTACGGTGCTGACATAAGGCGGAATATAAGTGTATCCTTTGTGTTACAAATGGTATTCAAAGTCCAGCAACAGTCACTACAACGATGCTTGTTTGGTAAAAAATTACTCAAGCTGCCTACAACTGTTGTCTATTCAATAACCGAAGAATGGACATTCTCTGCCAGAGGTTTCCGACAAAGGCATGGCAGAAAAAGCTCCTGGAGAACCTGTTCACGAGAAACTCGAGTAAATGACTTATTTAGGTTCTACAGCAAAAAACCTTTCTGTAGCGTAATTATACCCCCCCCCCCCCCTCCTCCCTCCCCCCTCCTCCCTCTCCCCACTGCATTTTGCATTTTGAGCGAAAAGAATAGGAAGGATTGCCGGTTTAGGGGCAGATAAGTGCTTCTACATATTAAAAACTTCAGGTATTAAGCTTCAAGCAACTTCAGGTAACTTCAGGTATTAGCTTTGATTACTTGAATACATGCTTAAATGAGCGAGTGAAGTGACCGAATGGGAATGAAAAAGAATGAAGGGGTTGAGAAGAAGGCGGGCAATTATAGATTACTGTAGGGCAGTAGTTTTTCAATTCTCATTAAAAAAATAGATAAAGGTATTAGTAAAAGGGCTTACTTCATTTCCAGAATCCTCAGTTACTCCAAACTGCGATCAACATTTGCCCGAAAACGTGTGGATATTGTTGTCTTACACCAGCCTTTAATTGCCAGAACAAATTGAGTGGGTCGATTATTATTATTATCTATTTTCGTTTTATTTGTTCGATTCAGGGTGGTGTTACTGTCAAATCCTACTTGGTGCAGATTCCCAGAATTATGGATTCTATTTCAGGACCTCGATATCCATGCTCATCAGTGACGCAGGATATGTGCGAAAGCAAAGCATGGAGGAGTATTCTTGAGGAGGATTGCCCAAAAACCTGTGGTCTCTGCGATTCTGGTTTGTTTCGTTTTTACACTCACCAATAGTTGAGAACGGCCAAGTGGATCAAAGAGGACCTAACAAGTAGACTAGAGTAGACTGTACTCAGTTGCTCTGAATAACAATTCTTAACTACGGGAGAAACCCCCGCACTAGCTCCTTCAAGATTCCAATTCTATGTAAGGTTTAGTGCGGATAAAAGTTGAAGCAATATCTGGGCATGTGCATGTTTTACAAGCCAGATTTTAAAGTCCCGGGAACATGGGATACAGTAACCGACCAATCCCAACACCCAATGGGCTCCGCCCAAGTCATATTTTTGTTGTGTCGTATATGTGACAGGGGTTTGGAGGCGCTCCGGTCTGTCTTTGGGTTTCTGTATAACATATTCACGGAACTCCAGAATCCGACTTGTTGTGCTTTTATAGCTGAAGCATTGCACGAATAGTCGAAACTGAAGTCGAAGATAGTAAGGTACCTTTACTGAAGGTAGCAGTAGGTTTGGGATTTGCGGCACATACCTCACATTAACTCACATACCTCATCTTAGCTCACATTCTAACTCACATACGTGTTGCGTTCTTGCAGTAGAGACCCAAAAACATCCTGCTCTAGAAGCTCCCATTTTACGATCTCCTCTTCCAGGTACTTGCGTCGATGAAGCACCTGGTTGCAGTTTGGATAATGCTGTCATTTGCCAAAGTGTAAATTTGCAATCTTTCGTAAGGGTAAGTCGAAGTCATCATTATGAACACTAAAAAGTGCTGAAACACTCTGGGATATTCTCTGGAATTCTTGATATCAATTACAAACTGCGATCGTCTATTGTATGGTTTCTATTGATCTTGTTTTAAGAAATACTGCAAGAAGACTTGCGGATATTGTGACACTGCATCTACAGCTGTACCAAGTGAGTGCTTTTGTTTGATGGAAAGACGTCCCAAATTCGTCCCAATGAGCTCGCACCTTTTTTCCCTCACCTCTATGTAGTTGAGCTCTTGAGCAACTTCCGAAGACAGCGCATGACGGGGGTCTTCCTACTTCTCAGTACTCCCTACTTTTGCATGATTTTTCTGATAGTCATTCGGAGCCGGTTTCGCAACTCTGCTAGATTTTTTGCCAAGTTGTTCCCCTAACCCTCCCTGAATGGCAACTTGAATTATAATCATTATGCGTTAGCTAAGGATCTAAAGATCTCTCAGAAACTTCGCCATTCTTGAAAATTTCTTTTTAAGGTGGCGAATGTGGATCGAACCCGAAGTAAGTTCTATCGTTATTTCATATGGGAGTCTGCTTGTGAGTTTATTTACCATAACGGTGGAGTTCATACTCTCCCTGAAATGGTCCGTTGCCGTACAATTTTCTGTTGAATAGTCTATTACGCTGAACCGTTCCAACATCCAAAACTTCATTTCGCTTAGTCAAAGGGCGAAAAATGCCAGAAAACTCACTCTCAGCAATATTTTCCGATATGCTGGTCTAAAATCGGTAAATATCTAAATAATATTTTTCAGACTCGAAAGCTCATGTTGAGTGGTAACTCCACTTGACTACAGGAATAGCGAAATACTTTTTGATGTCGTCACAGACGATCTGCTTGGTTCAGAGCTGTATGGACGCTGTTAGGTTCAACGACGTGTCACCGACGGGGCGACGACGTTGCTGGCCACGTTTCAGCGCAGGACACTAGCGCAGTTTGTTCAGAGCCGCGTGGGTGGTAGCGGTATCGAGCGCAATGTTCCCTGCGTTGTCAGCACGTGGCCGGCAACGCCATGGATCGATCGGTCGGTCGGTCGTCACGACGCTGAACTCTGAAAGCACCCTATAGCATGTCTTACTTAGTAAGTAAGTACAGGAGTAAAAGGACGTGCATCCATAGAATCACAGCGATTTAGCCGACTTAAAGGCACCGTTTACGATAAATTTAGGGTACCCCTTTTTGACGGGAATTGATGGAACTACTCTAGAATAAAGCGATAACAACGAAAAANGCGCAAAAAACGATGAATAAAAAGAAATCAAAAGGGTCAAAAAAGAGCTGGAAAGGGGGGTTGGACGAGTTTCACATTGGAAGAACGGGGGTTAAGGGAGTGTTCGGGCGAGTGCACGAAGGCGACGCAATGTCTGCAATAGCAGACAACACACCCAATTTGCCTGACGACAACACACCCAATTTGCCTGACAATCTGACTGGCAGACTCTGGCAATTTGCCAACCAGCTTATCGATTTTTCACCAACTTCGCTCCAATGCGAAAGTGATGAACGGCAATTAGATTTCGTAGTCAGCCTAGCGAGGGGCGGAGGCCTTTCGTCCCCCACTGTTCCTGCCCTTATTGTGCCCTATCCAGACGGTTTTCGACCTCATTCCTGCACAAATGGTATCAGAGGGGGCGTCGAATTCAAACCATGTGCAAATCTCAGAAACCATTTTTTCGTGAACGGTGGCTTTAAATTCAAATCCCAAGAATCACATTTTGTAATCCGAAAAGTAATCCGAAGAAGCAACTCAGATTATATATTCAAGCCTCGCTTTACAAGCATCTTTTGAATCCAAAACTCAATCAGCTTACATTCAACTAGCCGAAATATATGTGCGACTTTCCGACCTTGCTTAACATTCGGATTCCAAAGTTTAATATTTGTATTTTCAGTTGTGTGAACTGGGTTCGAAATGGATTCTGCAGCAGCACATTCTATTCGGATGCTCATAAAAGGCAGTACTGTGGGCGACTGTGTGGGCTGTGCTAGCGGAGAATCTCCTCTTTCCAAGCAGTACTCCATGATGTGTACCAGAATGTGTACCTACACATGCTATTAATTCGTTGTTGCAGTGTTTACAATACAAACAATAAAAATGGCAATTCCCATTAATCTGATCTCTGTTCCATCTGAAAAGAAATTGGAAAGCTCCCATAATGGGATTAATCTACATCAAACATTTGGCGCAGGTGCAATACCTTTGCGCTCAAGCGTCTACGATCGTTGTCTCAACCCAAAAAAGTTTAGTTCATCATGAAGTCGTCTAGTGGAAAACTCGTCATCCCGTAAAAAAATGGTGTTGCCATCCGTAATTCATTCCTTGAGGAAGGAGACCACATATTTACATATGACATCTTGTGGACAGTACTGTATCTCGGTCTTGTTGAGAGAGGCGTTCATTGGGAATCCACAACTGCGCTACTAGGAGTTAATTCTGCCCTGACAATGCCCCAATACGTTTGTCAAGAAAGTACTTCAAAGTCCCAAGGAACGATGGATAACGATGCAGATTTATCGATGAAGTCTTGAATGTTCCCCACAATGAAAGAGCCAAATTTGTTACGTGGGATATCCCTCCCTGAATTCATGACCATGGTTCTTCAAACCTATTTGTGAATTAATGACGACTTTGAAGAAATTGATTTGTCTTAGGATTCTTCAGAACTTCCTTATGATCAGAAGTCAGCGAAGCTGCAAGTGGGAAGGGGCGCACTATCACACACACTTAGTCTCGGGATCGAATCCTGTATTGATATCCGTCAAGGCCGATCAAGCCTTTTATCCCCTGGGGGTCGGTACATTGGGATCAGACTCTTTTGGAAGGCATAGGAAGTCATTTTATAGGCCACATTCCCATTCAATACGCTACTAAGATTCTGAATGTAAGTCGAATGCGAGGTGCATCGCCCCGGACGGGATTAAATGACGCCCAGAAATCTTAACTTCAATCCTTCCAATAGTACAAACAGGTTTCGAATTTTTAATTCGAACTAAGCGAAATGATAAGGAAGCCTGAGAAAGTACCACGTCGAAAAATCATCATCCTGCTTATCAAGTACTATACATTGGTTTCAGCAAAGAAATCTATTTTGGATCTACTGGGACTAACTAGTGCATTTGAGTAGATTTATGTGATCCTGAGGTATTCAGCCAACTTTAACTTGCCGTAACTTTTTTCCCAGTGGGGCAAATCGCATGAAATTTTGATATGTTTAGCTGAAGCATATTTCACACTGTCCAACACTACTTAACTGCAAAACAGCCATATCCAAATACTAATGGGAAAGCTTTTGTAGACTGTGCTGAAAGCAATTTTGTGACGTCTGTAG